TTTGCAGCGTGTTTTGTATCATTGTCCATCTGTACTGTGAAGCTCCGTCCAATCCACTTTGCTGCATTTGACTGAATCTGGGCTGACAGTATATCTCTAACACCGTGAAGAATTCATCCGGCTGCTTCTGTCACACTATCAATAAACACCAATGACCCAGTGCCACTGGAAGCCATACATGCCCAAGCCATCACACTGCCACCACCATGTTTTACAGAGGACGTTGTGTGCTTTGGATCATGAGCTGTTCCAAGCCTTCTCCACACATTTTTCTTCCCGTCATTCTGGTACAGATTAATCTTAGTTTCATCCGTCCAAAGAATGCTTTTCCAGAGCTGGTCTGGCTTTTTTAGATATTTTTTGGCAAAGTCTACTCTGGCTTTTCTATTCTTCAGGCTTATGAATGGTTTGCACCTTGTGGTGAACCCTCTGGATTTGCTCTCGTAAAGTCTTCTCTTGATTGTAGACTTTGACAATGATACATCCACCTCCAGGAGAGTGTCCTTCACTTGTCTGGATGTTGTGAATGGGTTTTTCTTTAGCATAGAGAGGATCCTGCGATCATCCACCACTGTTGTCTTCCATGGACTTCCATTCCTTTTTATGTTGCTGAGCTCACCAGTGCGTTCTTCTTTCCTCAGAATGTACCAAACTGTTGATTTGGCCACTCCTAATGTTGCAGCTGTCTCTCTGATGGATTTGTTTTGTTTTTGAAGCCTTACAATGGCTTGCATGAACAGCTCCTTTGAACGCATGATGTAGGTTTACAGCAATAGATTCCAAATGCAAATACCACACTTAGAATCAACTACAGACCTTTTACCTGCTTAATTGATGAATATATAACAAAGGAGTAGCCCACACCTGGCCATGAAATGGCTTTTGATTCAATTGTCCAATTACTTTTGGTCCCTAGAAAAACTGGGATGGCTACTCTTAAGACCTGTAATTCCTAAACCCTTCCTCCAATTTGGATGTACATACCCTCAAATTAAACCTGAGAGTGTGCACTTTCAACCCATATCAATTATATAACTATAGCTTGAATATGTTTTGGTTAATACCTGAAAAAACTAAAATTGTGCCTATGTCTAAATATATATGGACCTAACTGTATGTTCAGCTAACTGTATGTTGTCTTTTTTTAATAAAAAGAATGTAATATACGACAAAGGATTCCCAAAGCTCCATGGGGTAGGTATATACACAGATTTTCAGGGGAAGCCATCCCCACCCGGAGAACACAGTGATTATTGCTAGCGGCTATAACAGGTACTTGCAGTAATTGCATGTAAGATCGGGCAGGCTGGTTGTACCCAAGCTGATCAATCAGTCAACTTGGGTACATTCAGCCTGTCCCTACATGGTTTGAATGTCGACCGATTCCTGCTTAACTGGCCCACATTCAAACTGTCTATGGCCGGCTGAGTCAAATTCTTACTTTTTCATGGCAAACTGTCACTCACTGAAATCTCAACCCAGAGGCCCCTGATAAGATGATTCATTTACTTGTGCATGTGAATCTCATAGTTTGAGCTATTGAGTACTGTTAAAAACAAGAACAGATAAGAAAAGAATGAGATAAGAGCTCAAAGCTTTATCTGTTTCCTCAAAATGAGAATACAAAATAGTAACTTATATTTATACAGAGTTAGATACAAAACCTAAAAAACTGAGTTGTTTAGAAAAGAAAGTATTGGGGTACATTTGGAAGTTGTGCATGTCTCCTTTACAGCTGTAATACTTAAGGTGGCTGTAACCCTTACATATACCAGTGAAGTGACTGGTCTGAGGTGATACACTAAGATGAAACAAATCCTCCTACATAAGTTGTACTTGTTTATCTGGATCTTCTCTTCTCTACATCTGTTCAAAGTACAGAATCTATACAGCTTTTTGAGCTGTCAGAATGCAGGGAGCTGAAATTACACCTTACAGAGCTCAGTGAGGAGAGCTCTTGAGACCTGAGTGGAAGAAAGAGAGAACACCCCCCTTCACAGAGCACACAGGAACAAAGCTGAGGCTGTCAATCACAGGTAGTGTGCTGGAGCTCCCTCCCATTCACCTTTTTTTCTCTTGGCGCCAGGAATACTTGACAGAAGTGACTAATGCAGATAGCAGAGGAACAAGGCAGCAGACAGAAATTACACTTAGTGCTCTGGATCGAGACAAGTACACACTATAAAGGGATATTCTTTGTTCATATTTCATGTCTGAGGTTTACAACCACTTTAAAGAACACTGCACTTCCCCATTCAAATCCAGCTGTATATTTCCTGTACTTCCCCTTACCGAAAGGCTTTGATTTCAGAGAACAGTGAGTTCTTGAGTTTCTACAAATCAATTGGGAAATTTGTGATATTTCTGTAAAACGTGGAAGCATTAAGTGTTTTCATATGCTCCTATTGTCATACTTTTTTCAACATTTATTGAAATATTTGCAGTAATGGTGCATGAGTTCTGTTCAGTGCAAATAATAAAGGCATTTGTGAAAACAATACGTGCCAAAGTTCTGCTGTTCTAAGTGAAGGTAATACTGAACCAGGAAATGATCATATCTGTGAGTGTGGTGCCATTTATTAAAGTGGTTGTAAACATCAGACATGAAGTATGAACAAAGCATATCTCTATAGTGTGTACTTGTCTCAGTCCAGAGTGTTGTGTCATTTCTGGCTGCTGCCTCTTTTCTCTGCTATCTGCATGAGTCTCTTCTGACAATTTTTTTCTGCCACCAAGAGAAAAATGGTGATGGGAGAGGGAGCTCCTGCACACAGCCTGTGATTACACAGCCTGTGATTGAAACCCTCAGCTCGGTTCGTGTGGGCTGTGTGAAGGGGGGTGTGTCCCTTCCTTCCAATCAACTCCCAGAGCTCTCCTCACTAACCTCTGCAGTGTGTAATTTTAGCTCTCGGTCCCGTTTTCTGACAGCTCAGACAACCTTTTTAAATCCTGGTCTTTGAACAGATTTAGAGAAGACTGCAGAGAAACAGGTAAAACTTATGTGGGAGGATTTGTTTCATCTTCGTGTATCACACACTTCAATGGGTATACGTAAGTTTTACAAGCATTTTAAATCTACTGTATATCTCCTAGGGTATCTATCCAGGGACTCCATTTTTTTTTTTTCATGGTTCAATGGCTGCAATGAAAATCATTTTTCTCCAGTTTTACATTGGAGTTCATGTAATGAATGCATTCCATTAAGGATGGAGGTGTTATTGCTTTTCAGTACATAAGGAAAAGTAAAAAGAAAAAAATAAAAAAAAAAAACAAAATTTTTAAAAAAAAAATTTAAAAAATAAATTTTCGAGTCTGGAACAGTGCTCTATTTAGAGCCAGAATGGTTTCTTTATACCAGTGGTTCTCAACCTTCCTAATGCCGTGACCCTTTAATCTTTCTGCACAGTAGCTGCTTTCTGCACAGTAGCTGCTTTCAACACAGCAGCTGCTTTCTACACAGTAGCTGCTCTTTACCCAGTGAAAATATGTGTTTTCTGATGGTCTTAGGTGACCCCTGTGAAAGGGTCGTTCAACCCCCAAAGGGGTCGCGACCCACAGGTTGAGAACCACAGCTTTATCGGATATAATCTGAGTGGTAAGGCCCAAAAGACAGACTTTGTGGTCAGATGGAGTTTTTAGTTTGTAAAGTATGTAGAACATCTTAACAATATTTAATTGTTTTGGGCAGTGCTAACGCTTATGGAGAAAATCTCCTGGAACACTTACTTTTGCAACATTTGGGGTCCTCAGCCCTACCTATGTCATATAGGCACTTTTGGGGTATAGTAGTCGTGAAAGTCTGCTTTTGGATTTTGACCTATTATTATTAAATCATGCTGCCTCATTAATCTCCTAGATTGTAAGCTCTAAGGAGCCGGGCCCTCTGTTTCCTCTTGTACCAAATTGTATTGTAACTGTAATGTCTACCTTCATTTTGTACAGGGCTGCGCAAACCAAACTGTTGGTGCTATATAAATCCTGTATAATTATAATAATAATGAAAGTACTGGTTCTTTTGTCCTGGATATCCTTGTACAGTGTTTGTAAACCTCTTTTCAGTCGTGGAAACCTTTAAAATTCTGCGCAGTCTCAAGGCCCCTTCAGTTTCTCTCTCATTCAGTTAAGGTGACCCCAGTGCTGATGGAGAGGGGCAACTGATAAGGAGCACCTGACATGCTTCTTATCAACAGATGATGTCATCAGTTTTTTCAGACACCAGTGGTTGGTTGTAATACTGCACAATATAAACCTGCTCTTTTCTGTGGCAAAAGGTAGGCTTGATCCACTGGCTGGATTATGGACAATTTGTTAGTGTTTGGGGAAATTTTTTGGCGTTTGGCCAAGGCACTCTTGAAGAACCCAGGAGGCACCCCAGGGTGCCACTGCAACCTGTTAAAAAAGACTGTCCTAGTATATGAGGCTGCCCTAGGCAGAGATATATGATTGAAGTGTACTTTATACTTTGTGTCAGTGCCATTATACAACTTCACAATGGCAGTCCTTGCTTCCTCCTATACTAGAGTCCGATGCCGCAAAGCCTAGCCTCTTCCTTCTTAACTCCACCCCCATATGCTTTATTTAAAGTAGAATACTGGAGCTCCACATCACATGTTGGAAGACAGTCTATGAATTGTTAGGAATGCATATATGATCCAACTAATATTTTGGTCTTGACTCAATAGCTTGCTTTATAGATACTAAAATGATACCAAGGTCATGATCATTAACATATACTCTTATGATGACCTTTAACCACCTGCCGACCGCAGATAGCCGAATGATGGCTACACTGCGGCCGGCCAGTTCTGGGGGGGCGGCATATGGCGTCTTCCCAGAACGCACTCTCCTGCCGGCACCCGGCTCTCCTGCCTGCACCCGGCGATCTCCGTGATCGCTGTGTCCTACGGACACAGCTGATCACGTGATGTGGTAAAAGGCCAATCACAGCGGCCTTTTACCACGTGATCAGCCGTGTCCAATGACACGCTGATCACCGGGAAATGCAATTGCCGGTTCTCGGCTGCACTTTCCTCATGCTGTCAGAGTGTGAGGAAAGTACTGCCGAGAACCGGCAGTTGTCAGAGCAGGGATCGGCACCGATCATCAGGGCACTGATGATCAGTGCCCTGATGATTGGTGCCCAGCAGTGCCACCCAGCATTGCGCCCACCTGTGCCTAGCAGTGCGCCCACCTGTGCTCAGAAGTGCCACCTTCCTGTGCTCAGCAATGCCATCCACCTGTGCCCACCCACCAGTGCCACCCACCAGTGCCCATCAGTGCAGCCCAGCAGTGCTGCCAGTCAGTGCCACCAGTCAGTGCCCAGTGGTTGTGCCAGTCAGTGCCCAGCAGTTGCGCCAGTCAATGCCTAGCAGTGCCGCCAGTCAGTGCCCAGCAGTGATGCCAGTCAGTGCGGTCTATCAGTGCCACCTATCAGTGACACCTCATTGTGCTGCCTATCCGTGCCACCTCATTAGTGTTGCCTATCAGTGTTGCCTATCAGTTCCCATCAGTGCTGCCTATCAGTGCCCATCAGTGCCGCCTATTAGTGCCCATCAGTGCTGCCTCATCAACGCGCATCAGTGAAGGAGAAAAATTACCTGTTTGAAAAATTTTATAATAGAAACAAAGAAACTTTTTTTTTTTTTTTTTTTGCATTTATTGTTTATAGCGCAAAAAGTAAAGTGCCCAGCGGCGATTAAATACCACCAAAAGAAAGCTCTATTTGTGAGAAAACAATGATAACAATTTCATATGGGTACAATGTTGCATGACTGCGCAATTGTTATTCAAAGTGCGACAGCGCTGAAAGCTGAAAATTAGCCTGGTAAAGAAGGTGGTATAAGTGCCCAGTAGGCAAGTGGTTAAAGAACAACTTTACCCCAAACAGATCACTTCTGTGAGAATTAGGTGGGGCAGGGTTTGGTCCACCATCCAGGCTTCAATACTGTCCATCACAACGGCAGGAAAGATTCTATTTGCCCTCAGAATTGTCTTGATAGTTTAATATTTCAACCAAGATGGAAGAGGTCAGGCCAGAGCCAGTCAACATAGATACGGTATCTTGCCACTGATCACACATTAGAGCTCCTGATCTCTGGAGAATTACAGACCCTGTATGCAGGCACCTGCATCCATAAGCAATATAATGATAAAAAAAAAGTTGCCCCCCGATACACTTTAGGGCAGCCTTTGTCAACCTTTATAACATGGAGAAATCCTTGAAATAACTTTAAGGTTTTAGGGAACCCTGGCACTAATAATATATGTACAACTTATGGTACATTAGTGTAGTAGTCATTGAGAAGAATACTACTTACATTGATTGATGAATGCTTTTTCCATTGGTGGTCAGTGGGAATGCTTTTTCCATTGGTCTTCAGTGAGAAGAATGCTTCTTCCATTGGTCTTCAGTGAGACGAATACTTCTTCCGTTGGTCTTCAGTGAGACGAATGCTTCTTCCGTTGGTCTTCAGTGAGACGAATGCTTCTTCCGTTGGTCTTTAGTGAGACGAATGCTTCTTCCGTTGGTCTTCAGTGAGAAGAATGCTTCTTCCGTTGGTCTTCACTGAGAAGAATGCTTCTTCCGTTGGTCTTCAGTGAGAAGAATGCTTCTTCTGTTGGTCTTCAGTGAGAAGAATGCTTCTTCCGTTGGTCTTCAGTGGGAAGATTGGTGGTCAGTGGAAAGAATGCTTCTTCCATTGGTTGTCAATGGGAACAATGCTTTTTCCTTTTGGGGGTCAGTGGGATGAATGCTTCTTGCATTGGTGGTCAGTGGGAAGAATGCTTCTTGCATTGATTGTCAATGGTAAGAATGCTTCTTCCTTTGGTGGTCAGTTGGAAGAATGTTTATTTCATTGGTGTTCAGTGGGAAGAATGCGTCTTACATTGATGGCCATTGAACACAATGCTTCTCTCATTGGTGGTCGATGGGAAGAATGCTTCAAACATTGGTGATCAGTGGAAACAATGCCTTCCTTACAGATAGCTAACCCCTGGCAGCCTCTGGAGGAACCCTAGATGAGAAAATATACTTTAAGCTCTGAATTTATGACCCACTAAACCAAACTCTGTTCCTTATTTTCAAATCCACAAAATAAAATGTCACATGCGTACTACATATAGCACAAAACTGTTGCCTGACAAAGGGCTCCCTAGTGGCCTGGAATATCATATTTTTTGTGACAATAAAAGTTTTATAAGATATATGATGTGCAGGTGAGGTTCTGCTTTGTTGATTTAGAGTTTGTGACAGCACCATCCCTCTGTTTGTTACCTTTTCAGATGCTTCTGAAAATCTTTTTAAACACTGTAAGGAGTGCCCCAGATAAAAGTGGTTTGCATTTATTTTCAATGGGACTTTTAGGAACCCTAAACTCAACCGTTTTCCTGAGAAAAAAAGGCCTCCCTAGAATATGTGTGCATAGATGAGGGGAGGGGCAGATACCATAGAACAGATTTGGTTTAGCTCAATAATATGAACACATCATGATTGGTCAGTGTGGGCAGGAGAGACTTCCTTTTCTGATCTTTTTCACAGCCTAAATACAGCATATTAGATATATGGTCACTGTATTTAAAGAGAAGAGAAATAAGGGAATACGTTTTCCTCAGTACGTCACAGTGCCATGTAACCAGATATAAAAGAGTGGCAAGGCACTTTATGTAGGTCACGTGGGTTCTGAACATGACCCTTATCTGATAATAAAGTATTATCAGCATACTTCCTCTTCAGACTGAACTACACACACTGAAGTGTTTGATAATTGTATAACAGAACCAGACAGGATTGTTTATTGTTCTCAAGCCATCACAGAACATTCATCTAGTAAAATGCAATATATGTAAAGGGAGGGAGGTGCAGCGCTATATATGCAGACAAATGATGAATAAACACCGATAATGCACAATAATAAACGGTGACTGTAAGTTAATAACGCCACTAAATGGTGGCTAAGGTGAGAAAAGTAAACAGTCCAATGAAGGAGTGCTCTTAAGATCCAGGGTGATCTTCAGACGTCCAGTAAAAGGACCATCGGGTGATAAAATATAAAGACTGCGCACTCACCAGATACGCAATCTTTATGCGCATTTGTGTAAATATCACTGGACCTCCTGTGTCATCATCCTGGTCTGGTCAGATCTGGTCAGCATATCCCTCATGGCCTGGTACCCGATGGAATGCAGCTTTTCTGTAGATTTGGCCGGCTCCCACCAGAACTCAAATAAATAGAAAGGGCCACATAGTGTAATATCCTTAGGTATCTTTATTAGGGGCACAGGATAGCAGGAAATCCAACACACAAAAAATGGTACTGACCCAGGAGTAAATCAAAGATGGCCGCCGGGGCCCCTCGTGGCGCCGGCGGTGATGCGTCCAACCTGCTGTAGCCTTCCCTGACGCGTTTCGAGCGAAGGCTCGTAGTCATAGGGGTGCAGCTTACAGTGGTGGACGCAAATGACAGTAGCTAAATACGGACATTGGCGCATGCGCAGTACGTCACGCGCCATTTTCCCTGCGCTGAATGTCCGCGCAACGGGCGCCATTTTGTTGTAGCCCGACCCGATGGCGCATGCGCAAACGCCAATCGTCGGGTGCACAGAGACAAGCAGCGAAATGAATGCTGTGGACAACAGGGCTGGTTTAATCTAATGCTATAAGCACCAGGGATAATACAATCCACAGATTATGGATCACCTGTGCAGGGTAAGACCCAAATGATATGGCTATGGGCAGAAGCAAGAATGGATCCTTAATTAATTAATTGATTGATAGATCCAAAATTCTATTACACAGCCCATATTTATCATAACCAAAATAATGTAAATATATAAGACCTATATATGAATAAAAATATATTTACATAAAAATAAAATTAAATTAAAAATACTTTTAAAATCATATAAAAACCTGGTAATCATGCATACATAAATAATGGCAAATATATGCAATCTGCCAAACAAAAGGATAAATACATCATGAATACCCTTATGTATGAAAATCATTTCTAAACCCGTAATAATCAACAATATATACACTTAATAGAGCTGTAAAATATAACATACATCTGTGGACCTATAGGTCAACAGTGCATGCAAAATGTTAAAATATGTTAAAATACTAACATACTTATTAGAATAAGTTCACCTAAAAACAAGTATATATCATTATAATGGCAAACGGAAACCCTTATAGTTTTAATAAAATACGATAAACACAGATTAGGATCAATGGCAGAGAATTCATATATAAATGTACATATAGAAGGATATCTAAATAGTTTCAATTAACTATTATCAATAAAACTATTGATATCCAATTCTATATTAAGTCCTTTGGGGCGCATACAGTCCATCTGGAATATCCATTTCGTTTCCATTTGCGAGACTGTTCTTTTCTTATTTACGCCCCTCCAGTGGGCTTGTACTATATCAATACCTACAAACTGTAATGAAGATGGGTCCCTATTATGATGGGTCCTGTAGTGTAATGATAAAGAATGATCTTTAAAGCCCTTCTTAATGTTACTAACATGTTCCCGGAGTCTGTCCTTAAGTTTTCTGATGGTGCGCCCAATGTACTGTTTTTTGCACGGACATTGTAAAAGATACACGACATGTTTACTATGACATGATATAAAGTTATTGATCTTAAATGACCTGCCAGTACTGGTCGATGTAAAATTATCCACCCTCTTTTTCCTTTTGTTATTACAGGTGCATATAATACACCTGTTGCATGGAAAAAAGCCGGTAATATTGTTCAAAAAGGAAGTATTCCTAGGAGGGTTGATAATATTTGGGGCTATAAAATTTCTCAGGGATTGAGCTCTCCTGTAGGTGATCTCAGGTCTATCAGGGAGGATTTTAGTTAACACTGGATCCGCCTTCAGAATTTTCCAATTCTGATTAATAATACTTGAGATGGTCTTATATTGTCTAGAAAATGTAGTAACAAAAGGACAAATTTTTTGTGACTTTTGTGAAACATTATTATTAGCGAGCAAAGAATCCCTATCCATATTTCCTATCTCATGCATAGTGCGGGTAAGACATGTCTCATCGTACCCCTTTTCCAAGAACCTATGTTTTAATATAGATGCTTGTGAAAAAAAGGTATCAACCGAGGTACAGTTTCTTCTCAACCTTAAGAATTGACCTTTCGGTATGTTTGAAAGCCATAGCGGGTGATGACAACTGCTAATGGGAATGTAACCGTTGCGGTCTGTTTCTTTGAAAAAGGAAGAAGTTATAATGGTACCTTCTTGGTTTATTAATGTCAAATCCAAGAAATTTACACTAGATTTACTATAATCAAAAGTTAATTTGATATTTAAGGTGTTATTATTAAGAGTGCCAAAAAAATTAACTAATGTCTGTTCATCCCCTTTC